ATGTTTATCAAATAAAGTCTAATGTTATAACTAATCAGGGATCCCTTTAAGAACACCTCAGTGAACACATTGATAAAGCTTTTTCCAAATCCACCAAACACATGTAGACTGGAGAGTCAAACTCCAATGACCCACTGAGCAACTCCACAAGGGTAAAGATCTAATCCACTGTTTCACAGCCCAGGTAAAAAAACATAACAAAAAAATAAAAAAAAACCACAGCTCCTCCTGAACCTGAGGGTTGACTCTCAGTTGGAGTCTCCCTTCCAACACCCTGGAGTAAACCTGGGATGTACTCAGATACATGCCGATGGATGAAAATTGTCTCTAGGAGTACAATCATTTGATAAAAATGTGAAACACTTCACATTAGCAGTCTGAAACATTACTGCTTTACTTACCAGGCAGGCTGTTACTAATTAGATCAAGGTACTGTTCTATTGAAGTCAGCACTTTGTATCCAGCACAGTTAATGGTTCCTTTAGGGTGGAGGCGTTTCTCAAAGGACTGAGTGGAAAAACACAGAGCATCATTATCACATCAGTGAGTAATACCATCTTCATCCATCTGTACAACTGTCTGTCTTACTGATTTGTTGTCGTAATAGTTGATGTTGTAAGAGTCAGGGACAAAAAAGTAGCGGTTCTTCCATTTCTTGTTTTCCTCAATGTTCTGAAAGAGGGATCCAGAAAAGATGGACTTGTTCTCCAAAGGAATCTGTGGAAGGCAACATTTGTATTTAAAACTGAAAAATTATRTAGCAATAAATTTAATCAAAAACGGACTTTCATTTTTGCTTTCAGATATAACAAAATCAAATTTTATGATGTATAGAATTTATGAATGTTGTTAAAGMTACTTTCATTTTTCTGTTCAATTTATTGCTGATTGTCTTAAAGTTAAATTTAGTTAAGACTCTACAAATTGTAGACAATGAGGAATTTTTCAATATTTAGTTAATATTATTGTTAAATTCTCTTTTCAAAAGCTTCAAAATAATAGTGTTTATAAAYATTTGGGAACTTATCACCTGGCCTGACAATAAGTTAGTTTTGTTTATGAGAGTGACAGTTTGAAATCTGATGTTTTACAAAGACGCCAAAAACATTACGAGAAGAGATTTCTCGATGCAACGACAGCGAGCAGAGGAAAAATAGTCAAATTCCAAGGAAAATATAATAGGAAGATTTTATGATATTCTAGTTACCAGGATTTAGTAGTGTCTGATACCAGCATGTGTACTTGTACAAAAAGGACTGATCCTAACACCGGTATCAATACTCCATTAAATGAGTTACAGTTTAAATGGAAACTGTAACAAGTTCCATGTTTAAGACATTTAAACAAGTTTGAAGAAAATCAAATTTGTAATTTTTATTTACTTTAAAATGTTGCAACAGAGTACATCATGCTGTATAGATTAGATCCAGTCCAAGGA